GGGGGGGGGGGGGGGGGGGGGGCGCTCAGCACCCTCAGAATTGCCTGAGGTCCTAATCCTACCTTTCCTATACTTCCCTTTTTTTGGATTTTTAGACCTTGAAGCAGGGCCTGGTAAGGGCAAAGGAATCTCTACCTCTTCCTCAGCATCAACAGAGTCAACGTCGGAGAAGTTATCAATCTCGTCACTCACATCTACCAAATCATCCTCCTCTAACTTGAGAGACCTGTCACCCATGGCAAGGAAGACAGACGAGGCAGTGGCTTCAGAAGAAGCAAATATAATGGAATACGAAGTAGAAAGATTGAAAGAAACGTAGAGAGGAGGGACGCTTAAAAGATAATCCTTAAGAGTTTGGGGGTCAAGACTCTAGTGGCCAAAGAAGAAGAGTGGGGGAAAATATAAGGAACGACCTTGACTCCTAAAGAAGTAGAAACAAAAAGTCTAGAAATGAAGCAACCACCTCGAATTTGAGAGGTCCAGAATGAATAGAAACCTAAAAAGAAGGAAAGGAGGAACATGGCAAATGAAGTGCCTAGTTGAAGGTGATTGATAATCGAAGACCCAAGATAGATCCAAGGAATGGACTGAGTTAGCCTCGCAAAATCTTTGGAACGAATTTATGAAGTTGCCAGTAAAACCTTAGGTAACCAGTAAATTGGGGAAGACAGAGTCGTGAAAAAGAAGGAAAAAGAGAAATCTGAAGAGGCAAATATCAGTGAAATCCGAAATGATTAGCAAAGGAGGTTCGGACTGCAGACACATTTAAGGCAAGGTGTATGGGCGGACAAATGGAACAAGGATGGCGAACATGCACAAAAAAAGAGGAAGAAATTAATTTGTGCATGCCTGAAACACCATAAGAATTGAGAAACGTTCCATCGTTCTAATCCCGAGGGATAACTGGGTTAACTTCGCTCATCGAGACCAGAGATAAGCCCTAGTTCAGTTAATCTACTTGATTGAGGGATGGGGGGCAACTGATAATACCCAAAATACTCCTAAGGTTGAGCTCAGGTATTCAACTCAGACCTTTCTAGTTTAGGCACTCAGCTCATCTTGGATGACTAGGGAGCTTGAGGTCAAACCTTCCATCCTAGCAACTACGCCTTCACAAGGGTAGCACAAAAGACACCTAGCTGCCACTAAAATCCTAATGGACATATATCTAGACGTGAGTCGTAATTGCCTCGACACCTCCACAGCCGTTGCATGATAGTCGTAACTGTTACAAAGAAGAGGCAAAGATCATGCCAAAGATCACGCGAGACCTAGGATCGTCTATAAANTACGCCTTCACAAGG